GGAATGTTGAGGATGATGCGGATGGCGAGGCCCGCGCAGACGGCGATGGCGGCTTGTCGATAGTGTGCGGTGGTGAAGAGCTCCGGGTTTTGGAGAGCTCGATGGGCGCCTACAAAGGTGAGTTGCGCGCCGCGGAGGATCGCATTGGGGTCAAAGTTGGACATGATGCGGAGCGAGTTGAGTGAGAGTCCAGCCCAGAGGATGCGTCTCCGGGTAAATTAGAGTCTCAACGACACGACGAGGAGTGGGAACAAAAGAGTGTCCAGGTGCAGGTGGTGGTGATGGTGATTAATGCTGGAAGAGTTTCGTCAGTGGCGCAGTTGTCGACGAGGCTGGGGCTTGGCACACAGCCAAATGTGGATTCCCAGGCAAGGCTGCGTCAAAAAAGGAGGCATTGGAGGGAATTTCTCACTGGGTTCACCATCGTCTGTTCTATGAAAATGCATTTAATCAAAATACTACCTCGTCAACCCAGATCTGCGGGAGAAGGGTTCGACCCAGAGCCCCTCTATAGTCTAACAACTGCAATTATCCGCTTCCACCTCGCTCATTTCTCATCCTCTATTGTAGATCATATTTTGTGAGTTTGACTCCATCTCCACTGAAACGGTTGGAGCCCTCACCATTATCTACTGATACTGATAATTCTCATCATCATCTTCGTCCTCCATGTGCGTGGCGAATGTCGCATCCTCGGTATCGCCGTATAAACCCTCGTCGTCCTCCTCTTCGTCTTCGGGATAGTGTTCTTCTTCTTCTTCCCCCCAATTCTCGTCTCCTTCGCCCATGGCTGCTTGATGATTAACACTGGTGTCGTGCTCGCCGTATGCTCCTGCGAAACGGCTGCCACCCGCGACGGGTTCTTGCGGGTGATTGGTAGCCATGGGCTGGGAACCCTGGCTACCGGCGCTGTTGGCGTTGCTGAACTGGCTAAAGAATGAATTCGAGCGACTCGCAATAGATGGTGAAGAGCTGTTGCCGAACTTACTCGAAGGCGCAAGCCCACGTGTTGAGCCCCCACCGATTGAGCCCATGTCGTCCTGTCCCGATCCCTCGCTCGTGAGAGAAGATCCAGTTTGGTTGCCAAAAGAGAAGCTTGAATACTGGGGACTCTGCACCGACGTGTTCATGGTGGGCGCCATGGTAGGCTGGGTTCGAGTCGACTGTGGCGGGAACCGCGAGCTGTTAATGGAACCTGTCATGAGACGTTGGGATCTGGGCGTAGGAGGGATCGCTCGCAGCGAGCCTGGGGGGGTTGGTCCGACAGAACCAGGTGTGAGTGGGGGAGCACTCTGCCCGCTTGCAATGGAGGATGTCGTGCTAGTCTGGCCTCTGGTCGAAGGGGTCATGGCACGCCCCGAGGATGACGGTGATGATCCATGCGGGCGGGATGAGGGCGGCGCTGGCTGAAGGCCAGGAGGGTGTGCTGGAGCAGAAGTTCCCGCTTGCCAATTTGTCTGTGTTTGGAACCTGATATTATCGGCCGGGGTACCGGTGGAGGCTCTTACGTTTGGGTGCAACTGGGGAGTCGGCATATGGCTTGTAGAAGCTGGAGCGTGGGAAGTCATGGTATCGAATGACCGGATTTATTGATTCTGGATGAAGTTGGCGCCCTTGATTCACTAAATATCTCAGAGGGGGTTGTAATATTTGGTGGCAGACTTGATGGGAAGGCTATCGATTCGAACTTTTAAAAGAAAGATTATATTTCGTATCCGTTTCTGTAATGCTTCATTAGGCTGGCCAACACCTCAACAAGGGAGGTTCTATTATCGGGCACGTCCAGATCAGGAAAAGCCGTCGAACGGCACAACGACGTTGAGACGGTGAATTTTTCCGCTGACGGCCTAAAAGCCCTGTCGGATCAAAGCACCTCATGTTGTACTGCACATTTGCGGGGGATGTGGAGTGTTTGGTGTGGCTGGGGACCATATCCTGGCTCCTGAGGTTCGATGCTGACGGCAAGGATGACCCCTATCCTTCTCACCTCATGTGGACGATGACACCGTACTTCCTTCAGGATGGCCTTTGTCCACATTAGTACGGTGAAGATCGGGCCAGGTCTTGACCTGATGGTCACGGTGCACTATTTCATTGGATTGATTCTGGATTAATACACCCGTCGATGGTTATACAAGCGGGCTATGACTGAACGGTAAGCAGTTGATGCCAATGGTCATACCGTATACAAGTCTATTAAAGGGCCCACCCGAGCTACTTTCTTTAGTCTGCTTCCTTTGACCTGTTTTTGCGCAGTACGAGGTATGTATCCAGCGCGCTTTGACGATAATTTGTTTGGACTGCGTCCGACTTTTCCACCGAAGAAGTGGCCTTGTTACCCTCGGGCTTTCAACTTGACCTTGGTATTATTGGACAGCTAATCTCCGTTCGAGATGGAAGATAAAGGGCTGACATGTCTACTTGTCCGCAGGGGGGAAAACCGCAGGGTTCTGGATTGGGGGCTCGGCTATCTGACAACCTTGGTGATCCTGCTCAGGATCCAGGACATCTCATCTTTGTCAACAAATTCGCTCAAAATAGCCCTACATCCGGGTCTAGGCTTCGAGGTAGTATGCTCCAGGTCCGCCGATGCCACTGTACCTCGAACATGCGATGAGGTTTGGTCAAGAGTCATATACGGGTCGGATAAGAGGACATGTTGCATCCTAATCTCCTGGCTCTTTCTTGCCTGGACATTCGCCCAATCCGTCATTCAGCATATAGGCCATCACAAACGGTCTGAGATTAGGAACAAAAAAAAAAAAGGATAGACATGCCAATGCACCGCGATGGTTCATCATCTGCTTCCTCAAAAGAAGTGAGTTGTAGTTGTAGGCCCCTGAGAGTGGTATTTACATACACATCCTCCTATCCCACTACGCCATCACGTCTTTTCTAAGGGGTCCGACCAATATACATTCTGCATTTTGTCAACCATCTGATGTGCAATGACTCAACGACAACGAGCACACGACGCACTTACAGACAGATACCTACTACATTATATGGTCGCATGAATCTCACATTTCGCCGAAGTCGGAGCCTTGTTTCTCCGAGGCTCCGACTCCCCCCTGCCAAGCATTTCCAACTTTGAACTTTCCCTTCTTCCCCATTCTTGCCTTCCTCATTCTTCATTCTCCGCACCGGGTTCGGCTGTGTGTATTTGTCTACTCCTCACCTCACCCCGAGCTGTCCCCTATTGTATACCTAGGTATGGACGAGATGTGGATGGGACTGGAGACGAGACATGGTTTTTTCTCGGCTAATGACAAAGTGGATTTTTTGCGAGCTGTGTACATAACTTTTTACTTTTTTTCCTCCCGGTAATTCCCAGCTAAAGGTACATATCTATCTATCTATCTATCTATCTGTTGCGCTCCGTGCCACACGCTGTCACGGATTGTTTAGGTAAAAAAGCAATAAGATCTTCGATTTCACCTCGTGGGCCTAGACACCTTTCGTGACCAGAGGACAGAGTGACACAGATCCATATTCGATCCATCATGGCGTCGCAATATCTGGGAAACATGTTCTCGCTGGAGGGGAAGACAGCCATCATGACGGGAGCAACAGGTATATAATAACACTCCCCCGCCTCCCTCCAGCTATAGCCAATCAAGTCCTTTGTTCAGCATGTTGCGACTCACTCACTCACTCTCTCACAACGACCAGGTGGCCTGGGCTCGGCACAGGCAACCGCCCTGGCCCAAGCGGGCGTGTCGACCATCGTCTCGATCGAAGCGCCCAACGACCCGCAGTCGGCAGATCTGAAAGCCAAGGTCGAAGGCGTCGGCAAGAAACTGGTAGCTTTCCACTGCGACCTGCGCAACCCCAAGAGCCTGCGCGAGTGCTACGCGTCGATATGGCAGGCCGGGATTGTGCCGGACATTCTGATCAACTGCGCGGGCGTGATGCGGCGGAATCTCTGCGAGAATGCGACCGACGATGAGATTGATTTGGTGAGTAGAATTCAGGTTTTTTTTCCCCCAACGACAACAACAACAACACAATTCGTGTTCCAAAAAGAAACCAAAAAACTGACATCCTTCCTTTTTTTTACCTCTGTTGTGTGTAGCTGGTCGAAGTCAACATCAAATCCTACTACATCTCGATGCAAGAGTTCGGGCGCAAGCTCTTCTCTCTCAACCGGCCAGGAAAAATCGTCAACATCGCCTCCGTCACCTCGTACCAAGCCGGGTTCAACACGAGCGTCTACTCGAGCACAAAGGGCGCTGTGCTGCAGATGACAAAGGCCTTTAGCAACGAGTGGGCCGGCAAGGGCATCCAGGTCAACTGCATCGCCCCCGGCTTCATGCGCACGTCCATGACGGCCCAGTACCAGGACGACCAGAAGATGGTCGACTACCTCATGATGCGGGTGCCGATGCAGAGATGGGGCGAGCCACAAGATCTGGTCCCCGCTATGCTCTTCCTCGTCGCTCCGGGGAATACTTTCACCTCGGGGGCCTGTCTGATTGTGGACGGCGGATACTGCGGCAAGTAGTTCTTAGGAGGAGTGGTAGCTGGGGCCGAACAGTGCTCGAGAGGGGTGGTAGCCTTGGGCGGTAGATGGGACTGTTGTAGCCGAATAAATAGATCGATTGTAATTCCGCCCACCCGCTTCCTGGCCATGCATCGTCAATCCAGTATTGTCCTTGCGCCATATGCTGAGGTCATTGGGTCAGATCATAGCATTTTATCCAAACTCTGCAAAATGCACCAATATTTTCCCGCTCATCGTACACGTCTCTGAAAGCGGAGACATATCAAACCCGATGACAATCCCGAAGCAAAAAGTTGGCTACGCCAATCAAAACACCATATTGAAAACCCAGGTCCAGTGCCTTTGTGCAACGTTTCATGTTTCTCGTTATATGCGATGCGACGTAGGTGCTTAGACCTCTGTCACTGTTGTAACAGAACTGTGATTAGGTTCTTTTAGACTTGAAAGTCGAGGTTCATAATACCCTCATACGGGCTTCAGAGTGGCACACATCACATCACTTGCACCGGTAAGAGATGAGGTGTTCGGCCGTCGTCCGCGTCAGTTCCCGCCAGATGCGAGCTCCATAGTCGGCCAAGAGCGATGGTTCATTTCCCTTCGCCACTGCGCGGACAAGACCACGCGATCCATCGCCGCGTTTTGGTCGCACGGCCGGACTGTGGGAGGAGGCCTGGGATCGCGTCCAGCCTTCGGATTCCAGACTCAGAAAGGCGTGCATGTCGTTGCTCGTCCGGACCATGTGGACGTTTGGGTCTGATTCATGGGGCTCTCCACACGGCACAGCGACGGGATGTTTTGACGCTTGTGATATGTTTGAAGTTGGTGAAAAGGGACACAGGACTTGGTCTCTCTTTGGCGATTGGCGATACTGGGAGAGATGTTCAAAGCTCTCGGGCGTAGCTACCATTATTACGGCACCAGCATTGTCAGGGCTGGCTTGGTGTCTGGTCTGCTCAGTGCTGTGGCACGCATTGAAGCTCGGAGAGCTGTCACGATGGCCAGGGAGGATTTCCAAAGCACTGTCGAGACGCCAAACACGGCAGCTGAATTTGTTGACGTTGGAATGCTGGCGAAGGATGCGCGCTGTGTCGTGGCGAAAATAGAGTCGCGGTTTCCATCCGCAGAGGAGTTGGAGGCGTCGGCACTGTTCACATCTCGGCCGTACCTCATCGCATTTGACCTGAGAGGAGGATTGTATCAGTTGGGTTGAATGTGATGAGCGTCAAATCATGATCGGTTGGCATAGAGGAGAGGAGGAGGATGGTGATTGTCACAGCATCATGCACCATGACCCGCGTACCTTGCGGTCCCGACACGTTTGGCATCCTGTCCTCGTCCTGTTGTGCGGATGTGATGGAGAGTGTTTCCTCGAGCAGGAGTCCTGCAGCTGTTGGTCCCGAGATGGCGACAGTCTGGTCCCAAGGCTCATCATCCTGGGTCGTGACGATAGCAGGCAAGGAGAAGCAAGCACTCGATGATGATGCCTGATTGCTTTCCTCGCGAATGCAAGGACCGGTACTCGCAGGTTACCTGTGGAACGGTAGTCCGTAGGAAAACTCTGGGAAGAGCAGAAGATGGTACATTCTTTGCTCTGTACTTGGCGGTCACAACTTATCAAGGGGTAAGAATTCTGTCGACGAAAAACCTCATTCCTGAAGTTGGGAGGTCTCCTTACAAGTAAGCATGCAGGACCCTAGCCCCAGTACTGATCGTATCTGCTTAGATCCTGAAAAGAGCAAACTGGACATGCTGGGACTAAGACAATAAGCGCGAGTCCAGACCGCAACTAGACCAACATGAATAACAAGGTCATGAAGCTCACCATTCACAGTCTCTGTAGCGCTCAAAAGTGCGTTGCCGATCATTGCCTCAACAGCGAAACACCCGGGCACCTCGGACGTTGCACTGCCACCCTGCAGCGGAGATCATTTCCGATGCAGGGGGTTTTTTGTGCTGATCCCAGGCCTAAAGCCTCCCGTCAAGCCATCTCAGTCGCTCGTGGTTTGTGAAAACTTCGGTTCAGTTGACAAAGACTTGCTGTGGGATGGATTATCGTGGTTATCCAGCGCCGTGACGAAGCCTTGTTGTGCCTTCATCCTACCTACCTCTCAAAGTCCAAGACAGTCTAAAAGCGGGTAATTGCTGGGATCGTTTCGAAGAGCGAGTGTGGAAAAATTCGACATATGGTCCAGGAGAGAAGAGACTAGTGATCAATGGTTCGGGAAAGACAGATCTCGAGGAGGGTATCAGGACTGCGACGAACATTAAAGGATCGGTCCGATGTCAGGCAGATTTGCTTTTCATGCAGCACACAAACTCGGAAGAGCAAGCCTCATGCGTCTCTTGCAGCCCATGAACCTTGATGGGACTAGGATGAAAGATGGTGGTGTCAAGCACACAAGTTGTTGGAAAGAATTCGTCATTGAAGTTGCTGGTCGATGACCTGCCATCCAACTACAATCTTGAGTATATCGAAAGACCAGGAACTAGACGGGAAATCGACGAGCCGTAAACGCCTCAAGTACCTGCTTTCAGCAACAAGTACCCCCGTACCGAGTACCCCATGCCGCTTGTCCAAGTCAGCACGAAGAAAGAGGGAGTATCCTATACGTACCTCGTACAAATGAGTAAGAGACCGAATCCGGATGTAGTATCCGAGAGGCCTCAAACAAGGAGAAGGCAGCGGTGGTATGGGGCGCCACCACTGGGCAGATCGACGCGCCTATATACCAAAATCGGTAGGGATCTGCGTGGGAAAAGTCACAGCCGAAGCCACTCGCCATGTCCTGGTCTGCCTTGTCGCTGGCGTAAAACTTTACTCACAATAAACAGTTCAGCTTCTCTCAAAGAGGTAAGATATGCTTTTTCAGACTCGGATTTCTTTTTTTTTGAAAAGGAGTGTTTTGGCTCTTTTCGGTTCTGGTGGAAGTCAAACGACCTTACGAGGCAACAACCCCTCTTTGTTTTCCTTCGCTTGATGGAATGGCATGAGGAACTCTAAAGAGAGAGAAAATTACCGGTTGCCCAGTGTAAGAGTGAAAGGTTGATTCATTGAGAGGTGAGTCCGGATACGAGACGACACGAGAGGCGGGAAATACTCACGCTAATCGACACGTGATCCCAGTCACATGATATTTGTTGCCAAGGCGATGCATTGACCATGACGCTAGTCCTTTTGAAGATCTTAGCGGCGATTACTCCAAGGTCTATTCAGACGGAGCCCTACGAGGACTAGAAAAATCCCACATTAGACCCGGATCACGGTTACTGACACTGACGCCCAGGACGAAGGGTGCAACCTCTAGCATCCTCTCTGGAATGATGATTCCTTGACGCATGAGATTGAACCCTGTAGCCCTTGCCTTGGGGCCAACGAACGTCCTAGGACAATCTTCCTATTTTGGCTTTTGGTATTCTCGTTATTTGGCCTTTTGATAATATACATCTCTCGTGCGACTTTTCTTGTGACAGCTCAGCTTTCCTGTTACCAATAATGCTGCTGCTGCTGCTGCTGTACTGTGGCATCGTGGTTCTGCAGTCCTTAACCTGCTCCAGACCGGTGTCCAATTCCTTGTTTATGTGACCAATTTTCTCTTGACAGCTGCCTTCTTCTCCAGCTGATGTGATCGAGGCTTTGCCGTTCACCTCATATTTTCCGGAATCGCGTTGTGGTAGTAGGACTGGCGACGCGGGTGGCGAAAGTCCTCGTCATCCGTCACGGTGTATTCGGTAGCCACGCTAATCTGGCCCTTCCCCACGCCCATAGACAGCTCGGTCGACGACCTCGACCGGGTCAGATGGCGCTCGGACCCGTCGCCGTCGCCATCGCAGTCGATTTCCTTGTTATGCTCCTGCGCACCCTTCTTGTTCTTGTTCTTGTCGGCGCCACCGGCGCGGCTGTTCCACAGGGTCGCGAGCTGGTGCGCCTGTCCGCTACTGACCGCGCCGGCGCTACCCTGGGACTTTTTCGTGCCGTTTGAGGTGAGCTCGCCCTTGCGCCACACAGTCCAGAAGGCCTTGATCCCCGGCATGTTGGCGGCGAAGATGCCCACCTGGATCTCGACAGCGGAGATCAGGATCATCCGACCGAGAATGTACGTGAAATCCGGGTTGGTGGCGAACTGGTTGACCACGATCAGCCGGAGGCCCGACACGACCACCACCAGTCCACCCATGGTGATGACAGAATACACAGCGAGTCGGCGGCGCCAGGTCATCTGAAGACCCCAGAAGACCGTAACGGGGAGGAAGAGGATGACGCAATCGAGGACGAGTTCCTGTCATTCCCAAACGTCTCGTTAGCCAAATTGAAGTTTTTCAAAGGCCCAACCAAAAAAGGAACAGCAACAACACGCAGACGACCTACCAAACTTCCCGGCACAAAGTACGTCACCTTTGGTGGCAGACATTTCGCATCGGGGAACAGCGTCGGATACCAAAATGCCTGCAAAGGATGGCATTGCAGCGAGTATATCAGCCAAATGGCGATGGTGACGGCCGCGGTCAACCCGATAGTGCCATAGACCAGCATGCGAAACCGTCTTTCCTGGGCCAGCCGGAGGTAGAAGAGCAGGAAGCAAAGTTTGATCCAGAAGTGCATCCAGATGTAGTATATTTCTTCGGCATAGAGGACCTGCGATGCGAGAGAATTTTTGTTAGTGATTTGTGGGTGTGATGAGAGAGAATGTGTGTGTGTGTGTGTGTGTGTGTGTGTGTGTGTGTGTGTTTCTAAACAAGATACACAAAAACTCACCTTTAACAGTGTCGTCAGGTTTTCTGGATTATCTGCCAGCACGGCCTGCATGGTTCTGTTTTTGGGGAGGAAGTTTCTTAGCAGATGAAGAAGCAGGAGAAAGGGCGAACCGTTTGTGTGGTGATGTGAGTGGGTGAGTACATACTTTCCACCGCCGTGATTGAGAAACATGTACAAAACCACCTGTTGACCGGCGTTGAAGAACTATGTTTTCGCTCGAGTATCAGTACACTGGCGCTTTCAAAGAAAATAGCTGGGGAAGGAGACTCTCTTACCAGGCAAGCCAACATTGCCCAGTCATCCCAGCCCAGCTGTTTCAAGACGACGGCTCGGGTCCAGAGACGCAGGAGAATGCTCCCTTCACCGATGGCGAAGAGAATGTTGATGACCACATGGCACGTCAACTGGAGGCTCTTTGGCTCAGTCATCTTTGGATACCCGGGAAAGAAAGGTGTTGAGCCTGAGTTCCTCGAGAGATTTCAAGTCATACACAAACAAAGCCTCTGCTTGTTGCGCAGCGAAGAGAAGAAAGAAAGTGCTCCCTCCTGACCTGCAGATTCTGAAGTCGTTGGCCCAGCAAAAATGAGAAAAAGGTCATCGATCTGGTGCATATATGCGAGGTGTGTTACTTGGTACGTATATATGTCTGTGTTCGAGGTCAGAAAAGAGCCAACCGTTGAACTAGGACGGACTAGTACAGGCGCACAGGTTCTCGGCAAAGTGCCTGTGCCTGACTTGAACCTGATCTTGAACCTGGACAAGGTGGCAAGGCTTTACGCCTTCTTCCGTGGGCCACGACTCGCGCCCAAGAACCTCGAAAGGAATCGTCAAGCGTCGATCACACGCCCGGGGAGCCAGAGCCGTTGAGCCTGAGGGAACCGTTTAGGTAGTTCGCGTTACGAGTCACCTACTACATAGGTAGACATGGAACTCCCTTGGCCCCCATGTCCCTGTCCCGTCCACAGACAGGATATGGGTCGCTAGCCGGGGGGGGAAGGTGAAAAACTTTTTCGTCCCAAAAAGAAATTGAATCCTGGTTCAAATTGGGGGTGGGAAGCGCGAGCCACTCCCCGTTTGGGATTCGCAAAAGTCCAAAGGGATGGGCAGAGCGGCTGGAATGGGGGGATTACACCATTCAGTACTCGGTACTCTAGTCAGAACACCAGCCATAGACAGTCATAGACAGTTCTATCTCGTTCTCATGCTCGGTGCCGTGGTAGGGCTCAAAAGGCGCTTCTGAGATGGAATCTCACTCATTCTCTCTACACTCCTACATATTTCTGGGCTTTCTAGGGACATCAAGGAAGAACGGCATGGCGAGAGAGTAACGCCCAAGGGGATATGGAAACCTGCTGAGCATTCTTCGACTCTGATAAACTCGACAGCTACGAAATAGGTCTTGCACGCGACATCAACCTGCCAGCCATGAGACACACAGAGTACGAGCACCTAGACAAGGTGAGACGAATTATTGAACACAGGCATTCTCCGCGGACAGGGAACCCCCCGGTTTTGCTCAGGCGTTGGATTTCTAGGTACGAGGTACATAGGTCCGAGTCTCCAAGCCCTAACCGATACCGTGGCGAAGGAACAAGCAGAGGATACCACGACTTCACAGGACAAGATCTTCCCCAGACTTGGCTGGATATGCTCAACCGCCCTGACGATCAACAAAAGGCTGACGCGAAGGAATCCCTACTCGTGCCATCCAGAGGGGGTTGGGATCTATGAAGACCACAAAGACAAAGCAGGGCGAGGGGGGTGTACCTGCCGAGATATTCAGGCCCCGATCCTGAAACCCCGAAAAGGGACGCGTATAGACCAAGTCGTCGCTGGAAGGGATTGTGTTCTGGAAACAGAAGAGGGCGCCCAGGCCGCTGTACTTGGTAGTTGGTGGTGTGTGCACCTACCTGCCTGGGAGGGGGAGGTACTCCTGCGTCTGGTACCTATGGAGGGGCCGTGGGTGGACTTCACATGTGCATCGGCGAGCTGTTGCATTGTCTGTTCGTAGGCAACGGGTACATGTTGTGGACTTGGGTCTAGACGCTCCTCTCCTGGCATCTGCACCGAAAACAATAATCCTTGGTAGGGCGGCTTGATGGCGTCAAAAACCTAGAGGCGACCCGGGCCGCGGACCGGGCGGGCAAGGAGCCCAGAATTGGCGCCATGCGACTAGGTATGATTATTTGCAACGGTCGGGGTTCTTGGTCGAATGTATTGGTTGCAAAAGGATCGACGAGAGAGGTTAGGTACACTGTAGGTCCGGGGGAGAGTCCGAAGTGTACGAGTACGAGTCGTAGATACATACCGAGTACGTGAGTAGCAGGTATGTAGGTACATTCACCGTTAGTGATCGACAGGATCTCCTTGTATAGATACCCATGCAGTGGTTTTCGGTTTTTGTGGGGAGAGGACAGGAGGCAACGTCAGAATCCTGGCTTCAGTGGTTGTTCTCCAGGGCTCCAGGTGGTATATTATGGATTTGCGACAATGCGATGTGGAGATAGATGGGGCCGACGGCGTCGCCGCTTCACTACCAGGTCGGAGTATTTGTTTGGGAGCCCCTTTTTTTCAACTCCATCGCGCGCTCTAAGCGATGACGCGACAGTCAATGATCTGCATATTCCAAAGCGTTTTCCTTAGGTACGAGGACGGAGTAATTCCTAGGCAATGGTGGAGCAATGGATTGACGAGACGAGAGGAGACACTTGCCTGACCAACTCTAGTTAGTATCATATAACAATGATAATATCGGACACAAAACGAGGAGGGGAAAAAGAGCATGGGTGGGTGGTTGGTGGACGGCCAGGACAATAGTTACCAAGTCCGAGTAGTAAAACGCTCTTGGGAATCGAGGGCGGCTTCAACATTGCCTGTAATACTATTAGGTACTGAATGGATGGATGGGAGGATTCACCGAGGACCACAGCTCCAGTAACAAAAACCAACCCCACTGATCGACAATGGACGAAATATATCGGCCCCGACCTATTCGCGGGCCTTGTCCGTGCGGGCCGCAAAGGTCTTGTCCACGTCGATAGAAAAGGCGAGACGAGCACCAAGCAGGTACTGGGGCGGTGATCGCAAGTTTGTTCGAGCAGGTACATACATATACCTGAGTCCCAGTCAAGGACAACCTGAAGTCAGTATCCAGAAATGGCGCCTTACATATCCCAAGTGCACGGCTCTGTGGTTCCGGTCCCAACGGTGCACGCGGCGAACCCTAAATGTCGACTTCCTCGTGGATACTGCGTAGACAGTGGTCCCAGTCCCATGAGTGCCTAATCATTAGGCACGTAGGTAGTTCCTTGTTGAGATCTGCACACTGCAACGGTGGTGAAGCACATGAAGAACTGCGTGGCCCACAAACCGGGCGTTGGGATAGAAGGCGCACAGGATCGCACCCTTTATCCGAGATAGAGCTCTGTAAATAGAGCGTCCCTGGAGGAAATAAAGATCGGCGTGATCCCAAGCTTGGGCTTTACCCATTAGCCTTCCTGCCTGGTAAAGCGAGACAAGGCTACGCTCTGTAGTCGTGTCATTTGTTGCCCCAGGGTGCCCAAGCTCGGATCCTCCTCGGGAACTGAGGAAAACGGTGGCTGCATGCATACTAGTATATCAACGGTCATGCAAATCTGCTGCCACCTCAACTCGCCAACAAAGTCGTTTCCACAGTGGTGCGTCGGACCACTGCAATGGTGGGAAATTGGGGAGCCTCGGTATGGTGCCTTGGTTTGATGTAGTTATCCCGTGGTGCCCGTCGGTAGGACGCTCTTCATCCGTGGAGCCCTCCTGGTATCACCTCATTCTCCCCGTTTGTTTAGACTTGCCATTTCGGTAGGTGATTTATTAACCGGTGACTCTCCTCCTGGGACCCTTAAGCTTCTAACGCTTCTCCTCTGACCCAGGCGGATATTGATTCCACTCTGACACGTCGTTCGAAGGGGGTGGTCTTCGCCATCAGCATGGAACCCGGGGGGCCGATCACGATCCTGCTGAGGCAGACGCTGAAAGCCGAGCTCGGAGTCACCGCTGCCACCGCTTTCGTCTTGGGAGTCATCTTCCACCAAAGTATACGTCCAATCGAGCTGGATAATCGAGTATGGACACTCCTCATCCTCTTCTCTAGCTTCAACACGGTGGCGTTCTTGAGCTATGCCGTGGTCGCACAGTATGGCCTACTGGCGGCAGGGTTCAGGGTATTCGTTGTGGACGTCGCGTTTCTTGTTGGCGTCTATGGCAGCATTGCCATCTATCGATTGTTTTTCCATCGGCTGAGGAAATTCCCCGGACCATGGGGCGCGAAACTATCTCGATTCTGGGCTCTTCGGAGGTCGATGAAAAAAGTCCAGTTCAACTATGAAGTCGAGGCCTTGCATAAGCAATACGGGGACTTTGTTCGAATCGGTATGCAGGATCTGGAAAAGTGAAAACCGCCTCTGCTGACTTTGGGCTTAGGTCCTCGCGAAATTTCAATAAACCGCGCCTCAGCCATTGAGCTTGTATATGGACCTCCTTCCAGGTTGCCCAAAGCGACCTGGTATAGCCAAGTATCGAACGACATAAACAAGTGCTCCATTAACTCGACGCGAGACATGCAGATCCAGCGACAGAGAAGACGGGCTTGGGACCGTGGCTTCAGCATCAAAGGTGAAGCGCCGTTTCACACCCTCATTGAGCCGCTGCTGACTTCATCCTGTTAGCACTCTCCACATACGAGCCGCGCGTAAAATCCAAGACAGATCTTTTGGTATCCCGCATAGGTACATCCGCAGGGTCGCCCATGAATATCACAGAGTGGTCTATGTTTTACACCTTCGATGTCATGGGAGACATTGGATTGAGCAAGGACTTCGAAATGCTTACCACTGGAGGGGAGCATAAAGCGATCAAGGGGCTGCATGATCAGATGATCACGATCGGCACTCTCGGGACTCTGCCCTGGCTGCTGGCATTTTTCAGTGCCATTCCTGGAATTTCTGGCACGTTTCAGGATTTCATGGAGTACTGTCGAAACCAACTCGAAGAGAAGAAGAGAGTTAGTCACAATCTTCTCCGTTCGAGATATGGTAAAGGCTGCTGACAAGTTGATTTGTAGTCCACGGGCAAGGACCACGAGCCTCGGGATGTTATTTCTTGGTTGATCAAGGCCAAGTACGAAAATGACCAGTCTGCACCGCCATCAGACTTTGCATTGAGTGAGGATACTCGCCTGATCATCATTGCTGGGAGGTTTGTCACTGTCCAATTTGCGAAGCCATGACTGCAAGAGTTGCCTAACGCATTATCAGTGACACAACAGCGGCTGCTCTAGCCTACTCCTTCTATTACCTAGCGAGACATCCGATCGTGCAGAAAAAACTGCAAGAGAAGCTCGATGCCGTCTTTCCTGCAGGAGAGAAGGACTGGATGTACGAGAAGTCGAAAATTTCGTACTTGGACAATATCATCTATGAAACTTTGCGTCTCAAGCCCCCTGTGCCAGGAGGTCTTCCTCGAATCACACCTCCGCAAGGTCTGCAGGTCGATGAAGTGTATATCCCTGGAGACACCATCGTCGGTGTTCCGGTCCACACGCTCCAGCGAGACCCTCGATACTTCGAGCGCCCGTTGGAGTTTGTACCCGAAAGGTGGGAGGAGATGAATGCGGACAAGAGCCCGTTCTTCCCTTTTTCGAAAGGTATGGCCGTATTTCCAGGGCAGCCATCTAGTGTCATAACCGGTACTGATTCGCATACTAGGTGCTTTTGGTTGTGTAGGGAAGCAGCTTGCAATGATGGAACTTCGCATGGTCTTGTCAAGGGTTGCCATGGGCTTCGACATTGCGTTTGCCGACGGCGAAGATGGTGTCAAGTTTGACACCGAGGTTCTCGACACATTCACACTGACCTTGCCACCGTTGAAGATGAAGTTCACACCGAGACAGCCACGGAACTAGGGGATAATCGTCTTGGAACGGAAGGGTCCCGCATTTGTTTTAGAAGAGGTCGGGTAGTCGGTGCCACAAAGTCAAGATACATTGCTGACGGAGTAGTGATTGATTGGGACTTCAGAAAAGTCCGTCAGGGAGCTGATATGTTAGAGCCACCACGGGCACCTTAGGTGTACGAGCGGACGAGGTACTTGTAAGATGCTAGAAAGGCGCGACGCGCGACGCGTTAGTTGCCTTTAGCTCGTACGCCATCTCACCTGATATTTTATACTAGTCCTTCTTGGGACTAGCGTCCTAACATGCGACCTTTGAATAAAGTCACAGAGAAATGCAGGCATGACTCTCTCCTCCTGCAAATGTGGCCGGTCTGATGTTCTCAGGTAACATGTACAGAATTCGCTCGTGATTGTTACAGTAAGTTTCCTTGACATATCTCCAACCACTAGCCATTTCCAGGGCGTCTTCCTTGGGACATCTCAAGTATCGCCCCGAATATACCATCAGCGAAGTCGAATTGAAAGAGAAAAGGATGTCGATATTACCCTCATATCACTACATCGAAAAACCACAGGCCGTCAATAGCGATTTTCCCTCTCATCCGTCCAGCCCCCAATGAACTGCAAGCTCTGGCAACTTGGTTCGTTCTCGACTCCTTTGTCACTGTCCAATTTTTCCCCTATGTCGTTGAACTTCTCAAGCTGCTCTGCTAGTGCAGCCGCCGATCGAAGTGTCTGGCTGATCGAGTCTCGTCTCTTCTGTTCCTGGTCTCCGACATGGGAATAGCCGTGGCAGCTCTGCACCCAGAGTCGTGTCTGCTGATCTCGAGTGATTTCGTCTTGCTGCTCGTGTGGGATGAGGTCGGCTTTGACGAGTCTCGGTGAACCGCTACCTCTCAAACATGAGGTCTGCAACGTCTCTGATACCGTGGAGTGTTCGCAAAAGTGAGTTGAGGTCACGTTGGATTTCACAGAAATGTCATGACGAGGGTCTGGACATGCGTTAGCAGCTCGATCAAACCACTGACAGTTATGTTGGGATAGACCTACTGTTTCGACAGTCGACGGTGTCCGCCATTGGATGTTATGGTCAGTGAAGGGCAGTTTTTCTTCAGGAGAAATGGAATGAAACTGCTGAATCGATTCCAATCGACGGTCTATTGTAAGCCTTTTATAGACCTTTGGGTCTTCCAGAGGCTTGATGGCGTCTCATGGTCCAAGTTTCTTCTCCTCGAATGAACCCTCGAGATACATTGCTATGGCGGAGAATATGATAGGCCTCTCATAGGCCACGCTGTAGGCCGCCCCGTTGGCCCTGGCCGTGGTCCGTCGTCCATCAATACAGCACCTCCACAAAAGTCCCCGGATAAACCCCGTTTCCCACCAAAACAGGTAGTTTTCATCAGTCGATATCTCGATGGCTTATTATGGCGACCCCTAGTTATTTATCGTAGAATGTACTAGACTATCTAGGCTTTCTATACCGAGTAATTATATATCTAAGAACGAGGTATACGAAAAGTGGCGTTTGTCCGTGACTTTTGCGGACCTACTGGAGACCGCAACTGAGCAGCCCGGGCCCGACACGTCCAGCCGAACTCCAAACAGCCGGCGAAGGACCGGTAGCTGCCAACTGGCCCAATAGGCGTGAGCGATCCCGAAGTAACAATTAGACAGGACAGCATCATGTAGCTAGAAACTGCGACATCGGTCGAGACACTTGAAGAAACGTAAGAGGACACAAACGGGAGTAGGTAGACACTTCTCAGCACGTTTAAAAGCGTGATCTTTGACCTTTCGGCATTTAGAGGTTACTATACAACTAACATTCTCTATACTGAATCCTGCAGGGGCGGGCAAACGAACTGATTGCCTTCGCGGAATTGTGCCATAAACACCTAGTCCGGGTTGGTGGAAGAGAAAGCTTGAGTGGATATCTCGAGAATCCAGCATTGTTTCAATTCGCTAGGCGGATTCCATCTTCAGCTGCCCTCATGAAGGCGACATCAAGCTACTCTTCCGAGACGACGGTATAAGCGATGGGCCGTGTCTCGCCTGTATCGTCGTCCTAGAAGGGTTGCCGGGTGTCACCTTCATAAGAGCATCTGTCGTGAAATCCGTCCTGCGATAACGTATGTGGCCAACGTATAACAATCAATGCATCGACCCCAGATATCTTAATGTCCGTTCCGTGGCAAGATGACGACAGGAATTAAAAAAAAAAAAAAAAAAAAACTTCGCGCCAGAGTGCTGTCATAAGGGACCTGGAACAGAAGCAGCTTAGAGGCATTCCCCTTGGTGTACTGGTCCTGTTCCAGCTTCCTTAAGCCAGCAGAACCCAATCTTAGATGACTTCAACCATTGTCAGGATATGTTATTGGCGAAAAAATTTGATGCTGGGTGAACGTTTCGGAGATGTCGACGAAGAGTATCATGACGTTTGAAGCCCCCATTCAAGCTCCATTCGCAGCCAGTGTTAGGACACGGGAAGCGTTCGGTGTGTTGGTAGTGTTTGGAATGGATGGTCTTCTGGTGTCTCGTGAGGTCCTTTCGATACTGAAACCTCTTGTTACACGTACTCTGCTCACATATGAAGGGAGGATCGTGCCGTCTTTGATGTGTTGTAAGCTGATGTCTCTTTTGGAATGCTCTCGGGGGATTGCATTTGAGGCAATAGTGGGCATTGTCCTCGGTGGTACCTGGTGAGTCGCTTGAGCTCAAAAGTCTGACCTCGTCATTAGACCGGCCACCGGAGATTCCGGGGACTTGTACAGGCATATTGCCATGGCCGTCTGGAAAGCATGACTCATTGCGCCACTCATATCGTATGTCAGGATAGTATTCTAAAGAGTCATCGAGTGTCGCAATTGTGGTTTCAACAGGAGCGGTAGTTCCAAGAGATTCTTTTTGCTCAGCTTCTGGGTGACATGTCGGCAACGCCCAGTGGCTGTTCATTTCGAAAAATTGTCCATCGTCTAACGCCAATAAATCCCAGTTGCTCGAAAAATCGGGGGCTGCGGCCAGAGACCCCCAATTCTCGAAATCGATTGAGTCTGCACTAAGATTGAGGTCGGTTACATTGGTCGCGGAACCATGGCGGTCGATGGGGAGGGACACGAGGAGCTGCCGCCTCCCCGCGCGCGGGTTGGTGTCTCAAAGTCAAGTGCAACCGGTTAGTAGCGATGCGATGTGTACACTGTAAGGGCGATGTCCGGGTGCGCAGGAGGAAAAAGGAAGCCAGTCGAAACTTGGAAGAGGCAGAAGATAAACGGGCCATAGGAAGGGTGGCCTACCAGCGAGTGGCCTACCATGGCGTCAGCCTTACCTTCAAGGTTGCCTAACAGTCGGTTGCCGTCATGCAGGCAAGTGGGTGAGTAAGAGAAATATGTGCAAATCAGGTTTGACGGCGCAGACGGTTGGAGGGTTGGATGTTGTTGTTGGAGGGGAATTGATGTTTTGCTTCCACGTGATGCCAAGACGCTAATCTCTTCCTGCTGGTTCCCTCTCCGACGGCATGTGGCTGCTCGCTTGGAGCCGCCGCCCGTTGTGGCTCGGTCGATATTGTGAGGTTTGTTTGAAGCATGAACCTCCACGTTGACAAGTCATCCTCTTTGTTACTCGTACAGCCTCCACCATAGGCATCAAGTCCCGAAATTGATAGCCTTCCCATTACGATAGCTGCAGCCTTTGAAAATGCAGCATGGCCAGTCCACCTCCATCCTACGGCGAGCCTCCTCCCCTCCAAAGTTACCGCCGGTCGTTTACTGCTCCCCCACGCGCACTCTCCTTCCATGAAAAAGCTGCATTGGACAAATCAGACGCTGATGCCGATATCCTATACTCCCATCCCTCGGCGCGCATTATTGCCTTCTCCCCTCCGACAGAATCGATCCCTCCACAGAGCAAAGAGACTCCACCTGATGTCGACTACCCGATTGACACGGTAGAAACCCTGCCATGGCGATCGCGCTCAGAGATTCTGGCTTCAACCGGTGCCATCGTAATAGAGAAGGTCCGTGGCTCCAGCTATTTCCTGAAATCCGCCGATCAGAAGGTCATCCACACCATCATGCGAAATTCCCAATGCTGGTGTGTCGATGGGGAATCCAAATTTGTCTTGCGCAGAGGGAAATTCAGATACTACAGAATTGAGCTGCCTTCAGAAACGGAAGAGGACAAGAAGAAAGTGGAGGAACTTAAAGCCGCTCTGCCCAAAGTACTCCGATTTGAGAGGACGCCATGTCCATTCAAGCGCGCATTCCACGTGGATCTGCCAGAAGACGCAATAACACCTCGAAGGAAGGGGACCTGGAAACGAAGACAGCCACCAGAGCCGACCACTCCGAATACTGATCCATTGCCCGCCGGGCGTACAAAGACTTCACGAGCGTGGAGTTTTCAAGGACAGAACGGCTTGAGGTCCGTCCAGACTTATGGGCGTCGTGGGTCAGACTATGGCTACAGCCCAAGTCCAAGCTCATCTCGTTCACGGCCCGGGGCTGATGGATATAGGTCCTCGACCCCGTCTAGTGTTGCTTCCAGTGAGGACCCCCATGAAAGACGGCAGGATGACGAGTATAGCGAGGATGGTTCGCAGCACGGTGACGAGCGCGAGGACTTTGTTTCAAGACGAAGTCTTGCTCGGAATACAATCGCAGCTTCCCGGCTGCAGCAACTTTTGGCAGGGGATAAAGAGCATGTGAATGTGAAGCCAGCCGAATCGGACGACGAAGGCAGTCGAGCCGAATCTTCAGAGGATGCAATTCCCACACAGCCTATTGCCCCGCCCACAGTCGGAGATGAAGCCGACCCGGCTGTCGAAGTGACTCCAACGTCGGAACAGTCTCCAGAAGGTGCTATAGACGAACCACCTGGCGAGACAAATGCGTCAGGACCAGGGGAGGGCAGGCTAGAAATTGAGCTTCCCCAGGCGGAAAGCTGCTCAGGAGAAGATCACGGAGAGCATCAGCCAGAAGGGCATCATCAGGACACGAAAGCTTCCGTGGAGGT